ACGATTTCAATTGAATGTCGATGCCTGACCGCATCTATCCATTCGCCGAGATCTGGGAAATATCAGCTTCCACGGTTATATTCTGAATATTTCATGGCCTCTTTTCCATATATTTATAATAAAAATAACAGTGAATAGTAATATATATTTTCCAGCTACGAGGCTATTATTCTTTAGATTTACTTTTTCAGAGAAAGGAAATATTTAACGAGAATATGATAGCGAAATTATACGCGGCTGTAATAAACCTTACAAATGAGGGTAGTACGTACGAACTTACTACGTGAGTACATTATGGTAGGTACCCATTGAGAAAAGTTTGACTTGAGGAAGAGTATAGGTTTCTACATTAAACGGTATCAAAATACCTAAAATCAAGCTAAATTTTAATACATGGGCTGCAAAATGATGTCCTAATTTCTCATGGACATACCAGAGACAAATAATAAAATAATTGACTTACCAATGAGACACAAATACCAGTTACAAATATTAATAAATCATCATAAGGTAAATATAACACTGGGGTAAATAAAACTTCCTTTCATAAACATAATGAAGTTTAAATTAATATTGTTCATTCATTAAAATTATAATAAATATGGATTGGTAAAAGAATCATGTCTTTTTCCCTAAGTTAAGATATAAAAAACCTAATTTATTAAGCACTGCTTATACACCCCGGCTGCGCGCGGGTATATATGTTTAAATATATATACCCGCTTTAAACGGATCAAGCTAACAAAGCGAAAGCGACTTCATTTTATACTTTGTAAAGATTAATTTAAAATAAAATAAAATAATAGTTTTACTTTATTTACTGACTAGCTGACCCGCGTAACTTCCACTACGTCACGTTTTACTCTTGCTTGTAATACATTTCATTGTAGCTCGGCTTCTATTGGTCATACCGTATTATTGTATATAGCCATCCTCGATAAATGGAAAATACAAGACTTCATTTATTGAGTATGAAAGAATTTTCTGAATTGGTTCAATGGAATAGAATAGAAAATCATTTATTTAAATAAACTTATTTTAAGCACTTTTGAATAGTCATAACAATTTGTTTTTTATCTACCACTCTAATAGTATCGAAGAATATAGCAATCATCCAAAATTACAAACCTTTCTTCGTCATAATACTGGTACTGATATATACAGGTAGATATTTTATAGCTCAATTTCCCAAGCAAGGAGAAAAGAAAATGATGTAAGAGATTCTAATTTACATGTTAAATCTTATCTAGTCTCTAAATAGGTTTCCACTTCAATACAGTGGCTAGAAAACAATAAATCTAACATACATACGTGTGGAAAAGAACGAGAAAATACTTCAGAAGTCTCATTGTCGGTCGGACAGACAGATTTTATTTCTTAGTCAGTAATAAATAAAGCTTATTTTCCTTCTTTACCATTACTGAAGCGAAAACGTATTTAGAAATAGAATTGTTTGCCACTTGCCTGAGCCTTCTGAATGGCTTATGATCACAAAAGTATGTATTGATGATAGGACCTTACCGCCGGAAATTCTTTCAAAGAAAAAATCCATTATCCTTATAGGTTATTGAGATTTTTATTCTCTACGCGTCAACGCTACTTATTTGAACAAGCTCCTTAAGGTTTAGTTATTGAATCAAATTGTTTCTTATTGCTATAATAATTATAATTTCATTACAAACTAATACATATTTTTTATTAGCTGTGGCTGCGTTTTCATCTTCGTGAAATTTATAGCCTATATGTTATTCTGATCTAAGATATATAGTAAAGTTTCATTGAAATTCATGCAGTAGCCTTTCTGGGAAAAACAAACAACCATCCATCCGTCCATACGCACAAACTTCCACGTTTATAATATTAGTATGAAGTAAGATTTAACTGCGTAATTATAATAATGTTAGATATTTATTATAAGTACAGATAATTACTTTTTATAACAAAATAACATCTCTAAAATTTCAATTATTTTATAATAATAAAAGGTAAAAATGTAAGCAATTATTCTAATACTTTTTCCTTTATTACGACCTTACCTCATGAGTCATCGCCGTCCTATCTGTTTGAGCCACTATCTTACTAGTAATAAGTAAGGTTAAAAGTTAAAATTTGGCATTCCTAATCAAAATGCTTAAATACCATATTGAAATCTATATCCATATTATAAAAACCAAGTTATTAATTAATCATAAATCTATACGATAATTAACTTTCGGGCAATGAAAAAGACTGCAAACTATATGGGGAAGGTCAATAGTGACTTCAAAGTTATATGTGGGTTGTAAAAAAATAGAAAGGTTTAAAAAGTTTATTTCACTAATTTACGAGAATAAACTAGAGAGACTAGACGTAAGTTAATACTAATTTAGCTATATTTAGAATTAAAGTCTAGCTTTTCGATATCTCATTATAAGAGAACGTCTGAGCGGAGTTCATAGAAATATTTTAGTGTATTTATCAGGATCTGAAATCTTATGTTTGATGCAATCACATCGTATTAAATATAATGACATCCATTCGATGGTAGTATTGAGTCTATAGAATTATGGAAGATTTATTTTAATGATATTTTAGTACATTTATAATTTATTATAATTTTATTTGGGAATCTCAGTCTGATCTAATTATAGAGTTAAACAGATTGCCCAGTAAGATATATTTTCGTTGAAGGGTGAAAAAAGATATATAAATAAAATTGGAGTGTCTGTTTGTAACATTGCAGTAACCGTTTTTTACTACATGTATATGAATATAAATAAAGTACATACACCAAAATAACATTTTTAACAAGTTTTGTCTGTTTGTCTGTTTGTTCCGGCTAATCTCTGAAATGGCTGGACCGATTTTGACGGGACTTTTTTTGGCAAGTATTTTAGAAAAATATAGTTAATTTCCACGCAGACGAGGTCGCGTGTACAGCTAGTACAGAATGAGATGAATAGCCTCTTCAGTCCTCTGGAAGTGACAACCATGAGCGGTATCACGGACATTACATGATAATGTAATGTCATAGTGATGTTCATGTATACAAACGACGTTTAACACTTCCCATACAATTACTAAGTTGTAACTAGTTCTACTAACAATAGTATAATAGATGGCGTATTAAAAATTTATAAGAACTTGTGCTCGCCCAATACTCTAAATTCGACGGTAATTAATTTAAATTATAAGTTTGTTCATTGTTGAATTTATTTCTATTGAAATGTAAAAATTAACCTCCCAACTGATTGAGTGGTTAGGTGTTCATTATAAGGCAATCCGAAGCTCACCGGGGAGGCATTAGGGTCTGGAGGTGGCGTGCAGAGACTGTTCCCTGCACGCCTAGATGGAAAGGTCCCTTCGATGGGAACCATGCCGGTGCTTGCGTATCCCATGGCCACGGCGATTATGTCGAGGAGGAACAGTCGTCAGGTTTTTAGCAGGTAGGAGTCCGGCAGTATCCATTCCTCCCTAAGGGAATGGTTCTCCATGATGGATTTTCCTGACGTGAAAAAAAAAAAAAGGTGTTCATTATAAAGTCATATTTTTTACAATCATTATTGAGAGTATAGAATCCTTGACAATATACTCTAGTTGGAGTAATGTTTTTTTATTAATTTTGTATAATTAAAACAAAATATTATTATTGCACTCCTTCATATAAACTATAAGTGTGAGAAATGTCATACTCATCCGTCCGCTCAATTTTTGTAAAAAATGGTCCAAGTTTTTGCATTTAATATAATGATAAAATACTACACTGCAACTTAAAAGTTTTATACAAATTTCTCCAATAGATTTTATGTGAGATACAAGCAGGCAAAGAGACAGTTCCACAACATAAAGACAAGGTTTATATTTAAGTTGGTATAAGTGTATATATATAAGTGGAATATATTTATAATTACCGACTAAGACCGAGTAGTTGCCGCACGCCATGTCTGAAGAACTTAAGACTTTGGTTCGGGATTAGCACCAGATCCCTGTTCTGAACAGCGGTGGATAAGATTAAGATCGTTAGGATGATCGCCAGCCTCCAGTATATAAAGAAGAAGAATATACTCATAATCATAGTAATTAATAAATAGTAAGAAGAAGAATATACTTATAATCATAGTAGTCATGACAGGCATGACATACGAAAAATGATCTAAAATTATCATCCATAAAAAAAGTCCATTTATTCAAAATATTTAACCCTGAAATAAATGAAATAACAAACAATTATATTCTATTTCCTTTAACGCTTAAATTCGGGTTTCACTCAGAAGTGTTTTTCATCCATAATCTAATTATATATGCTATATCCAATTATCCTCTTACCTAATTTTAATTATCCAGTGGCTTCTAATTAGTATCAAACATGCCCCACAGTTACCTGACGATATATAAAGGAGTACGAGGGTTACAGAATTACATATTTTGAGTTAATAGAATAAAACAGTAGGTACATCGATATCAAAGGTACAGAGATTAACTTTATATAAAGTTAATCTCTGTTAGTCTTTTTAATACTACGATGGTGGCAAAGAAACATATGCCCATTTGATGGTAAACGGTTACCGTAGCCTATGCTCGCCTAAACATCAGGGGTGTGACGTATGCGTTGCCGACCCTTAAGAAACCTTTTGCTCTATAAGTTTAGTGTTTACTTCATCATCCTTCAACTGAAATATAGCTTACAAAACAAGCTAATTAGCATCTTAAATACGAGTAGATGATACTGAGGTACGACACAGACGACTTTAAAAGACATAAAGGTTTTGGATCACAAGTGTCGGAAACTGCTCGGAGTTTCCCTCTCCACCATACGATGGACCTGGCATACGCACGGTGAATTCATGAAGTGTTATGAAGTCTTACGTCTCACTACTATGACAAAAAATACGAGCGAAATCATTAAATATGTGGTATAAGTATTTAATGATTAAATAAGTAAGTGAGAAAGTAAGGAAATAAGATTAAGCGAATACGAGCGAAATCATTAAATATCGGTAAATATCATTAATTTGTTTCAGATTCAAAGCACCGTCCTTTGAAGGAGAGGAGTCAGATGATACTCTACTTGATGCGGATACTGGTTCTACAGTCATATTCGATTGTAGAGTGACTTCGTTAAGGGATAAAATGGTAATAAATAAATAATGCTAATAACTTGTAGTAAGGTTTATAGGGATCAAATTATATTTGTTTAGTTATGCAGGTTTATTACAGACACTTATAATAAGTAAAATCTACCGCGTCAAGCCAATAACAACAGACATGAAACTCAGCCCTTATTATTTTTAAGGTTGTATATGATTAATTACAAACATAATAATGCTTTATTGACATGATACATAATGCTTATTTAATATACTATCAAAATTACAATATTTAAAAAGAACTAATGCTAACTATAACTAACTAAGAAGTTAGTTATAGATAATCAAATGACAAAAAGTTGTGTATACAATATGAGGACTCTGATATCCTAAATAATCAGTATTACACCTGTGCTATAAGTAATATACATCATCTGTATTTCAGTGTGTCGAATGATCCAGCCGCTATTCTACTACACTATGTCAAATTTAGTATCTAGTACAATTTCATTAAGACAAACTATATCATACACACATAGCAAGTTTAAATAATAGGATAATAGACAATGCAGTCTTGGCAGTAAATACATTTATAAAAAAAACGAAAGGGCGTGGGTGCTGTTTGACATGACAATGTATTAGTGACCACATTTTTAATAACTTACCACGTCAGGTCGACGTGTTTGCGATCCTCTCTGGAAACCATCGTTATTAATTCCTAGTCAATTCGCCACCAAAAGTTAGGCAAAAAAATGAGAATTAAATTTTTCTATTGTTTAATTAATGGATTAGTCTCATATTTTAAAACTTATGTTTATTATATATCTTGTTATTATACTGAGTAGGTTGAGTGTATTAAAATTACATTATTTTTTTGTTACAGGTTTCGTGGCTTAGAGTGTCAGATGAGGAAAATTTAGAATTACTTACCTTAGATCTAGATACACATACTGCAGATTATAGGTACGAAAAAACAATATTTTTTTGTACTAAGACATCACATTTGGCTTAACCAATTTGACTGTTAAATAGCTTACTTCATAAGGTCCATTTCTATGTAAAGGTTGAGACAGCGTAGTGAAGTTAAGTTGTTGTGTCTTCAGGAGAGACAATGTGTAGTATATACCACGAGTGTCAGAATTTATTCCATTCCTAGCTACCTGTTCTGACTTCGCACAGGTGTACATGTATTATAGATAAAAACGTTCCTCTTGAATCACTCTATCTATTGCTAAAAAATTAAAATCTGTCGCGCAGTTTAAAAACTCTAAGCGAACAGACAGCGGAAGCAACTTTATTTTTATACTGTGTAAAGATAGCTATAGTAGTAGCTCATGTATAGGATAGGTTAACATTTTCCATCAAGTAGATCGTCAGCTAGTTTACAGTATTCTAATTATACAAACCATTTTATAATACTTCTTTTAGACCCTTATTAGTTCCTAAAATTATTATACACAAGTATATCTATTAGTATCGATAACTGAATTTATTGCAAAAACTATTACCCACAATTTCTTTTAATTTGTATTTACGATACTATTATATTACTAATAGTATTGTATATTCACAGGTACAGAATGGATGTAGCTGGTGATAACTGGAGATTATCATTGTCAGATGCAAAAGTCCAAGATTCTGGCATCTACTGCTGTCATGTATCCACACATCCGCCTATGTTAAGACGTTTTAAATTAGTAGTACATCGTAAGTATACCATAAAAATAGAAATATTTATGCTTATATATAATAATAATAATAATCCTGGACAATTCACACATCGCCATCTAGCCCCAAGCCAAGCGGTGCAGGCATTATGGGCTCTAGACAATTGATACAATTACATAAAAACATGTTTTTATAAATACATATATGTATAATATACAAAAAAAATATTCAGACATTGTATTATCTTAAACAAGTAATCATACTCAAAATACAAAGTGTTTGCGTAGTGCGATAATCAAACCCATGACCTTTGCAAGTAATGGTTCACACTGATGCCGTCAAAAATAGTAAAAATTACTAGGAAAACAGGGTTTGTATCCACACTATGTCGCTGTTATTATTATAGTAAAGATAAGTGTTTGGAGCTCTAGTTAAACCATAAGGTTTAACTGTAAAACTAAAGAGTCTTTGTAATGTTTGGTAACTTCAAATTCCATTCAATCTTCTTATAATAATTGTAAAGTTATTTTCGTGATTCAATAAAAAATCTTCCTATATGAAAATTTCCTTTGAATATTCTATTAAGAAATAGACATCTTATTTCCGGCTGGCATCCCAAATGTATCTCATTTAAAGAGTCTGGAACGTTCCACATCATAAACCGATTTATATGAAACAATTTTTAGTGAAGACTTCCATAATATCTTTGTAACGTATGTTCACAGCGCCGGAAATAAGAATGAGCAAAGAAGCGTTCTTGGAGAGCGGGGAAACTCTGTCACTGAAGTGTTCAATACTCCACTTGCATCCTGGAGAGATTGTACCTGAAATGCATTGGTACAGAGGCAACAGTACAGTGTCACTCGACGAGCTCAGAGGCGGTGTACTAGTGGAAACGGATCATTTGACGCTCACCAGTCATTTGCAGGTAATTTAAATTAATAACGCTATAAAAAAATAGGGGTTGATGACAGAAAGGTGAAAATTTAGGATTTTATGTATTTTCGTATGTTGTATCATAAAAAATTGAAACTAAAAATTTTGTCTAAAAATAAAAAAAAATTTAGGGGTGGACTACCCCTAACATTTAGGGGGATGAAATAGATGTTGGCCGATTCTCACAAAATTTCATGAGAATCGGTCAAGACGTTTCGGAGGAGTATGGGAACGAAAACTGTGACACGAGAATTTTATATATAACTAGACTAGCCAGTTCGTCTGCATCACACTTACTTGATATTTATCATTATATGTCACTTAATTTACATATTATCACTTTAAATTTAGCATTTGTGTTATTCTGGCGTATAAGGTATATTACTGTAAAGTTTTATAGATATCCGTTCAGTATTTTTTTGCATCAATGAGTAACAAACATCCATCCATACGACCATATATTCTTACAAACTTTAAAATAAAAATGCGAAGCTGTATCTGTCAATCTGTTACGTTTTAGACTGAACGGTAATTTCTAGTACTATGTACCTCTAATATGATTTTGAAAGTGTTAATTTTTGGACTACTTGGAAACTATTTGCATTGGAAGAATGATACCTTTGTCAATAATTGACACTATTACTGAAACATTTACCTATGGTAGTACCAACAGGAATTCAGCAAAATGGGCATGTGAAATCACGACGCATAGCTAGTTCGTTAATATATACTTATGTACTTAATTTTTATTCTCCGTAAAATGTACAAATATTTTTAATTGAGCTATTTAAAGAAGCTTAACAATGGAATGATTCTTTTTTAAAAAAAATTCGGTGCATTTTACCTTATATTTTTAAGCCATGCTGGAGTTTATCATAAAATAAATAGGAATATTTTTTATAAACCTTTGGAATTCATATAAAATATATTTTTTGTGACAATATCAGAATTTTAAATATTTAGTAATATAGCCTTTTATTCAGTCAATACGTGATACAATTATTTACCTAATTATCTTATTTATATAATATTACACGCTCAATAAATATATATTCATCATGCATTAATTATTAATCAACATCATTATCATTTGTAATCATAATTCAATATGACATAAAATTTATTATATTATATCCGTTTTTAAGTAGTAATATTCTTTGTAATTTTGTATGTCTCAGAATTACATGTTTACCAGTCGACATATGTTTTCTACCTTTCCTTTTCTATCTATCCCTTGGGGTTTCATTCGATGATGTGTACGTATAATCGTTATTTTAGGGACCTGGTCTTATTCGCTTATTTTTGAGAAATACTAGAATATTCTATTGCAGAGAGGAATAAAATAGATGTGTTTACATATCTATTTTATTCCTCTTCATTAGCATACTTTTCATTAACGGCGTTTAATCACAGACAAATAACTTTAACACATATAAAGAAACGAAACGAAAGAATAGTAAACAGTTTTATCTACAATTAATTTTATGTTTATTCTATCTATATTCCTGTATCCCAAATATATATTAGATATAATTATATATCTATATTTTATTTTCTAACCACTTTCATTAAACTTTTCTTAGTTCCTGTACTTTAGTAAAACTAAATTAAAGACTTAAGAAGACTCACTAAAAAAAGCTTTTACAATTTCTACTACAAAAAGAAAGCCTTCCTGGGTATTTTTACGGTGACCCAAATTGCAATTAAAGAGTCTCATTTGGCAAACCTGCTCTGAAGAAATAAAATCGCTGCCAAATAAAGTTACATTAGAAAACTATTTAGAAATAGTTCAATAGATTTACTAGCGTGCTGTGTTCTTTGTGGCATAAATAATGTTATAAATGCGATAGTATATGAGTACGGATATATAGATAGATAGATCGATGTTTGTTACTCTCTCACGCAAAAACTACTAAACGAATTTTGATGAAACCTTACAGTAATATAGCTTATACGTCAGAATATAGTTATATAGGCTATTTCATGCGGTTGAAACCGCTTTCACAGCTAGTTTATTACGAAATACATAAAATATTACTGTACGTGTAGCACATTATTAATTCACTTATCTATACGATTATTATGGTAACGTTCGAACAGAATAGAATAGAAATAATCTTTATTCAAATAAATTTAATATGAGCATATTAGAATAATGACTATTCTAATGCTCTTATAATAAATTTATCTTTATTCTACTACTAGAGAACGAGTTTGTATATAAAATTTTAAATAAAAACGTATTAATTTTAAAAATATCACTATTTAAATAGTGAGACAAGAAAGAAAAAGTGATATTTTATTTAAAATATTTGATTTCTGTGTGATTAGTTACTAGTAGTTATTTGACATTTTAATAATATTTAGCACTAACTTATTAACCAATCATTACAACCTATGTCCCTGTATTAGATGAGAATTTGTCTGGCAGAGATATCCACCTTTGCTCAAATCGTCTCTAAATAATTTTATCACTACATCAAACTAATCGAAAAAGAAAATATATCGAAGATATGCGAGTATTTTATGGTCAACATGACATCGACAGTTAATTCCTCTGGCGACCCTTCCTGGAATTACATTGGAAGAAGAATTACATTACCTGAACTGACTCATGAAAAGCTATGTAAACAGAAAAACAAGAAAGACATACATCTCACGATTACATAACATCTCTTTTGTTTAAATTCAAACAAAATGGAATAATAAAACTTGACTATTATCTCACTATTGATAACGACACTTAACACAACCGAAAAGATAAGTTGAAAAGAAAAAAAAATCGACAACAAAGATGCTACAAAAATAAAAAACTTTGTATCTTTCGCCCGCAAAGCCTTAATTATACGTACTTAACGACGTAATTAAGACATTAATATAACGAATGTTTGCTGTTCAGAAGCTAACGCAATTACATGAACCCTTACAACCGGCGTAGATAACAAAGCGTATGATATTTACTGTATGATAGCCACGGGTTAACTGCCGTTGGGGTGTGTTCACAATCTTGGCGGCTGTCTCCCCAAACCCACAGACATACAAGTATTATGCCTATTATATATATATACGGGATTAGTGGAGGGATAGCTAATGATATTGCATGGAAATGAACAGTTTTCCCAAAATCATAAAGTAAAAACAAAAAAACACTATTACAACATAGCATGAGACTAAACGGTGCAGTGTGAACAGTAACTTTTTTTTTTTTTTTACTTTATGATTTTGGGAAAACTGTTCAGTTCACTGATTTGATTTGATTTACAACTCATAATACACACATGACATAGACATTACATACATGAGTAGTAAATTAAATCAAATTTATTATTATTAATGTCCCATTAAGTTTTGCCTCAATAGGCATGGAAAATTTTATCTGTCTGTCCGTCTAATACAAATATTATACTACTTATTTTTGTAAACACACATGTAATATACTTAGAAAACTTTCAGACCAATAAAAACAATCATACTCATAAATACAAATGTAAAATATTTGTACTGTGCGAGGAATCGAAACCGCTACCATCGGAAGACAAGCAGTGCGCTAGTGAGATAAACAAATCTCCTTCGTGACCCATTTTCACTATGGGAACCAACATCATCCGGTATAATAGAATATTAGCCCAAATGACACCGCAAACTATTGGAAGAGAGTAATAATAACACATCCTGATACAAGAAGCTGCGTACAAAGTATCTACACCTACATAATATTAACCGTCTGATAGCTACGAGTTAATCACCCCCGAGGTATGGTCCTAATGCCAGCGGGAAATAATATCGCACACTTATAGATTTTATAAATATTTGATTTAGAGTCGAATTTCCAAAATGAATTTTATTTTAGTAAAAGCACATTAAAGCGACCTCTAGCATTGCATCTGGTGCGCTGGGTAGCACCAACAGTATCGTGAACATCATATCAGGCAAACTGGACTGTTTGGACATGAACCATTGTTGTACCATATGGTGGAGTTGTATAGCAATGATAAAAATAGTCCAGTCTTATTTTGTTATAAATTATATTTTTGGATTTTACTAACATTAATTTTTTTTATTAATTTTATTAATAACTTTAAGAAAATTTTGTTTATAACATAGTGGTCTGAAATAAAAAACAAAAATATTAAGCTTACGGAAATTATCGAAAACAACATTCATATCTCAATCTAATAGCGTATAGAGAAAACCTTTTTTTATAATAGATAAACTCGAATAATAGATAACTGATGTATAATTTCTGGTATAGAAAGTTAAATTATCAATGAGTATTTTACTTGAAAAAGTTGTACCCATAAAAAGCTGGAAAGATGAAACGAAGTATGATTCATTTTATGTTTTGAACTCGTATCTCGCAGTATATTTGACTTATATCAGTTGTATTACTTATTTAATGTAATTGAAATTACAATCCATCGATGGTGATAATCGTTCACCAATATACATGAACACCATTAGGAACATCACATTATTATGTAACACATATGATTTGTTGCCATTCATTCTTAGCGGAGTATTATGGTATTATACTTCTAAACCTGTAATTCCACTGCCTAATAGAACCCTACAACTGAAACAGCTTACAAAGCAAGCTGATTGTCGGTTGAAATAAGTAGATAGATATTTAAAAATTAAATTAATAAAAAAGATAAATAGAGAAATGGCGATGATCTGTGCAGTGCACGTGGGAAGTGCTTAATAATATAATAGAAACTTTAAGTATAAATAGTAGTAATAAATTATGTATTTCAAATTATGTAGTAATGATTTAAGATTGTTTTTTTTTATTTTTCCTGTTTTTCAATTTTCAATTTAATTTTAAATTTAATTCAAATATTTCAATTTATACTTATAAGTATAAATTGAATAGGAAATAACAAAAAAACAATAATATTAAAAGATTGCAACTGCTCTAAGAAGATTCTATACAATACCTAGTTTTGATAAGGTCTACTTAGGTAAACTTACAAGAACTAAGGTATGTAGGTA